GGGGCACGGCAAAGGGGGGTGCGGGGAGCGCCGGTTTCCATGTTTGGCTGCGCCCCCGTTGAGGGGGCCCTGGGCGCCGCAGACGGGGGTACAGAACACGGGGGCGCATCTCCGCCTCCTCCTCCTCTTCCTCCTTCTCCTCCTCCTCCCCCTCCTCCTCCTCCTCCTCCTCCTCCTCCTCCTCCTCCTCCAAGCTTGAGCCCCCGTGTTCAGCTAAACCCCTGCTTACGAAGCCCCGATCAGGGTCTGGGGTGGGGGCATCGGCATGTTGGTGTGGTTCGCCGGCGCGCGTCGGTCCCCCAATCTCATGGAGCGCCTTGCACCACCTGCAGAGTGCCTACTACTCGCAAACGTCAGAACAGCACATGTATGCCCTGACGTCATTTATCGTAGGTCGGAAGCTGGCCGAGGGCTGCTAAAACCGTGGCTGCTAAAACGGCCCTCCCGGAAGGAAAAAACAACTTCCCGGAATGAGGCGCGGCACGCGAAACAGTCAACGGGCTTCTTCCCGGAAGGACGAAGACAACTTCCCGGAGGTCGATTTTAGCAGCCACGAATTTAGCAGCCCTTGCCCGGCTTCCCAGTAGGTCCCCCGCGGGGGATCCAGGCCATCTGCGACTGGCTATTTTGATCGCAGTGGAGCGCGCTCGTCTACGACAGGCCCACGCTGACCGCGGGCCCGAGGTGTGGCCCTGCTCCAAGGGCTCCCTCGAGGGCGCGAAGTCATTCGCGCTTCGCGCTTCGCGGTCCTCCTTCCTCCTCCCCCTCCTCCTCGTCCTCCTCTTCTCCCTTTGGGGGGGCGGCGCGAGGGCGCGAAGTTATTCGCGCTTCGCGCTTCGCGGAGCGCGAAGCGCGAAGTTGGGAGCCCTTGCTGCTCGCCCGGGATCGTGCGGCGCTTCGCCGTCGGCGGGGCCCACCGTCGCTGCACGTCGCGGGCTCCAGCTCGTGGCTTCCCCCCCGAGTCGTCAGGAGCTGCAGAAGCAGGGCTGGACCTGAACGGTGTTTTTGGTGGTTTCGTGGGCCGTTTTCGTTGCGACTTCGATTTGCAGCAAAGGCGGATCTGAGACCAAAGCGAGGGAAAACGAAGACCAAACGAAAACGCACAACACCGTTTAGGTTCAGCCCTGTGCAAAAGGACGTACACGTACATGAATCCGCGATGTTTTCGAGAGTACGCGTTGCGCGAACGTTCCTATCGCGCCGGCGGTCTCGCGGACTGGGGGGCCGTGCTCATGTACGTGGGTGGGCGCGTACGTCCTTCGTGGGTTGCCCAAGTCGGTCCCTCCCTCAAGTTTCATCGGGCAGGTCCCTGTACAGGAGGAATTTCCAGAAACATGTGAAGCATCGTAGGAGGGCGATGTTCAGATCTTGACTATTTCTTTGAAGTTTTTCGGGCTAGTTGCATCTTTCTTCAAGAGTCCGCTTTTCGGAGGACATGCCCCGACCCAGCGCTGACGTTTCACCTCACCCCTGGTATACAGTGGAGACCCATGGAGAGAAATGTCCTGCTGGCCTGCAGGCTGCCACGGGTTTCTTGGGTTTCGACGGTTCTACGATGGGACGCGTGGCGCTCCCACGCCAAAACTCAGTGGACGTCCTGGGGTCTCGGGGTCGGGTTTCCTGTGGAAGGTTCCTTGTGGTCGGGGCTCCTCTGTACAGCCGAGGCGCCGAGAGAAGTCGCCGAGAGGAGGAGGCGGAGGAGGAGGGGTGGTAGGAGGAGGCAAGGAGGAGGAGTTTGAGGAGGAGGAGGAGGAGGAGGAGGAGGAGGAGGAAGAGGAGGGAGGCGGAGGAGGAGAGGTAGGAGGAGAAAAAGGGAGGAGGCGTTGGAGGAGGAGGAGAGGAGGAAGAGGAGGAGGAGGAGGAGGAACCTCGCACCTCGATCCCATCTCTGCCTCCTCGCGCCGTGCAGCAGATCCAGGCGCGAGGCTCTCGGCAGCCCTCTCGGCCCCCAGGGGGGGGCCCCTCGCTGGGGCCGCGCGGGGCCATCGGAGGCGCGCGCGCCCCGGGCGGCGAGAGCCGGGGCTCTCTTCCGAGCAGGGGCCCGCGCCTCTGGGGGGCCCCACTCTCGGGGGCGGCAAGGAGGGGGGTGGTGACCAGGAGGGGGTGGATGTCATGGCGAGGGCCATGATATCTCCCCAGACTTCGTGGCGCCGCTTCTTGTTTCATGACGTCCCTGGCCCCCCCGCTGGGCCGCGCACATGCCGCCGGTCATTCTTTGCACCCCCCCCTCCTCTTGGACACCCCCCTCTTGGCCGCTCCCGACCCACTCCGTGGAACGAGAACATCACGACGTCGGGGAGGTCGACCCTGCAAGATCATGGGTGCTCCTCGTGTCCTGTCGCGTGTCCTCCTCGTGTCCGTCAGAGGCGACGATAGGGGCGAACAGCTCAGGGGAGAGCAATACACCTGGCATCGCTCGCACGTGTGCAGTTCTCCTTCGGCGAGGACCATGGAGGAGCATCCTTGATCATCCGGCGAAAAAAAAACCACGCACGAAACCGACAACAAAACACAGGGAATGGACGTCCGAGCGATGCCCGGTACGTACATGTATTCACGTGCGCCGATACTCTATGTCTCCGAAAAGGCTCCCGGGCGAGCACGTGCAAGGCCCGCCCCCGGGGCTCTTCGCCCCTACCGTCGCCGCCGAGTGCGCGCCGACTGGTGCGGCTGGCGCTGGGAAGGTGGCGTGCAGCGTGGCGCGCCCTCGGCCCCTCTCGATCGCAGAGCAGCGACACCTGGGTAGTCGAAGGCCAGACTGTCAGATTGGATTGGGCCCCAAGGGCCAATCTGGCCTGGCCAAACTGGAGGATTGGGGTTATTCGCCAGACTGGATTCGCGTTGGCTCCCTCGTCAGATTCCCCCGTTTGCCAGATTGGGCCTGCCAGATTGGCGTCAGATTGGCTTCGACTACCCAGGACACGGCATAAACATAAAAACTCTCGGCGGTCCGCGCGGATGTTTTGGATCCGCGCTGCCCCCCCCCCCGCGGCGGCGCCTCCGGCGCCGCCCCTGGCGAAGCCCCGCGCGCCAGGGAATGGGGGCCCTGGAGGCCCTGGCGAAGATCCGAGGCTTCCGCGCGGAGCGCCAAGAGTCTCTGTTTCTGTTTCTGCTGCTGTTTCTTGTCTTGATGCTACACACTGCCCCACGTCTTTGGCGACGGGGGGACAGCGCGCACGGACGGGGCCCCCGCAGGGGGGGAGCACCTCGCGGGTACCGCGTGATTTTCGGGGCTCGCTGCTGCACGTTCCTTGCGAGGCCCAGCACGCTTTGGGTGTGCTCGGGGACGCCCTGGGGCGGCCGCGGCACGCGATTACCTCCCTCCGGGCCTGTGCGGGCATGTCCCTGTACATGAGGAATTTGCAGCAATAGTTTGAACATAGTAGGTGGGCGACTTTTTGACAATTTATGAAATTTGGGTTAAACATTATTTGTTCGAGCATTCTTTGGTCAAAATCCACCTGTAGGAGGACATGCCCGACCTAACTCCAGGCGCGCCGGTTTCAGGAGAGTCCCGGTGTATCCTCCCTTCGATGTATCCTCATCCCACCGCCGTCTCCCAACGATACCAGAGGCATCCTAGATGGGGTCCGACTAGATGGGGTCGAAGGATCGCGCGCATCGCCAATGCATCGCCGATGTATCGGCGATGCATCGGCGATGCATCGGCGACGTCGGCGATGCATCGGTGACGTCGGCTTTGGGGAGCACGGTCTCCACACCGAGCCGTATCGTCGATACGGCGCGATTCTCCGACCTCATCTGCTCGGATCCAATCTAGGATTAAGTCGGGCGTGATCCTCTACGGGGGGGATTTCCCAAAATAGTAACAAAATAATCTGGGGACTATTTTTGGAGTATTTTTGAGGATGTGGGGTTATTGTTTGAGTATTTTTTTTTTTCTCGCCTGCACCCCCCCTGTCTGGGGGACACGCCCGACTTAGGCCCAGAGATACAGGTCCACCTCCTTCCTCCCCGTCCCCTCCTCCTGGGCCGGCGCGAGTGTCCCCCTGACGTGCCACCGTGTGCACCTCTCCCGCGGCTCGAGGCGCGGTCTGCCCTCTCTGGGGGACCGCTCAAGGGGGTCTCGCGGCTGGCATGCAGGCCTCCTGTCCCTGTCGCTGCCCCTTGCCCCGCCCACGAGAGGCGTCAAAGTCCCCCTTCCCCCTCCCCCTTCTCCCTTCCCCTTCCCCCTACCCCTTCCCCCTTCCCCCTCCCCCTCTCTTCCCCTTGGCCTTCCCCCTCCCGTCCCTGTCGTTGCCCCCTCCCTCCCCCTCCAGACTCCCGGTCCCTGTCGTTGCCCCTACCCCCTTCCCCCTCCCAGGGGGCAGGGAGCATGAGCGGGGGCGGATCTGTACAAATGCTCGATTCCTTGAGGAGGTCGCCCTCGCAGGGCTCCTCGCCCCGCTGGGTGGCGCGGCCGCGCGCGGGGGGAGGTGGGGAGCAACGCTGCGGGTGGCGAGGCTCGGGGGGGACGCATCGAGCACGTCAAGCAGGGCCGACGATCTGGGCACGCTGCTGCGGTTCCTTTTTTTTAGTGCCCCGGCCCTCGTTGCGGCCTCGGGGGTCAATCCTGGCCAGACAGACTGGTTACTGACGACGTGCACGCCGAAGGGCCCGGGAGCAGTGCCCCCCCACGCTTTGCACCCATCGCCCATTCTTATCACCGATGTGGGCCTCATCCCCACCAATGAATGCTTCGCCCTCGGGGGCCTGTCGCCGATCTGTCGGCGATGTATCGCGGATGCCAGATCGATGTGGTCACTCCTGAGCCGGTTCCCACTGTCGTTCCCCTCGTGGGGGGCGGTTAGCGGTGCACGCGGCGGCGACGGCGGCGGCGGCGGCCTCGCCGAAGCAGGAAAAGGGCCAGCCAGGACAGCGGGAAGAGGTTCAGGGTTCGACCATCACCATCGAGCTTCCAGGAAGGGGAGGGCTCAAGGTTCGAGGATGAAGGTGCGAGGAAGAAGGTCCAGGCGCGCAGAAGAGGGTCAGGGGTTCGA